ACTCTTGGCTACAAAACGTTTAAGACCCCCTGACCTACAACAGATTTTCATAGTGTACATGCCTGTATTGTTTTTGTGTGCTGGACACTTGAAACAACGAGAAACGAACCGTTTTTCAACACAGCTGGCTGGAAAACTTCGGCTTGCCATCTCTACTGAACAGTAGCACTATATGGAAATTACAAATTACTGCGCTATACATCACTTCATCACCCCGCACCAGTACAGCATCCACAAAATCCAAATTTAACCTAAAATGTTTTTTTTTTTTTCCAACAATAGTACCTTCTGTTGGCTCCGCCCCTTCTGCTATGTAGACAGGCTGAGAGGGTTGAGTGCTAAAGAGTGTCTAGTGGTCCAGACTTTATTCATTTATTTTTGTTTTATTACATTATCCAGGATTAATAATGTGCAAAGTTCACCATTTGAGACATGGCTACTTTCTTCCTCAGCACATGGTTAGGGGGCGTGGCCCAAAGTTTAAAGGCGGAAGTGATTTTTATGAAAAGTTTCTTAATCAAGTACTTTTGGCGTAAGAAGAAAAACTGTTCATTAAAATGCTAATTCTGCTAGTAATACATTAAGGTCTTAATGAGATCTGGGCAGAATATCAGATTAACCAAAGCCACCTGTAGCAGTCCGTGCCGTACGGACACTCCGGCCGATCGTCATCTTTGTCATCCTCGTTGGTTTGCTCTTCCTCATAGTCGTCGTCTCCGGGGTGACTGCACTCCTGAAAATGGATCGGGTTTTTCCTGGACAAAGATCATAAACACAGTTTTTAATGGGGGACGTGAATTTTTTTGACATGGCAATGCGAAGACATGATACGCTCACTGTTCAAGTGGTGAAAGTCGTGACACTGTTGCTAAGCAACTGGGAAACAAGAGTGACACAGGAAACACACGTACACTAGATAATCACTAAGCGAGCTAGCATGTATCTGTTAAAACTTTTGTACAAACAACATAAAAGGCAGAGTGACAATGGAAATAAGACAAAACTGTCAAAAATATCAACATTTACCTCAGATGTGGTGGAAATTTACTGAAAAAAGACTTGATTTTAGTCATTTTATTGAAATTACTTAGTACTTTGCATCAAAAAGGAATTAACCTTTACACCATATAGGGAAATGTCAACATTACTTCACAACTTGTGAGGGAAATTTCGACCTCTGAAGTGCTGAATACTACAACAGCGTGCCGTTATTGTGGAATCTTTTAGTAAAAATGGTGAGGACACGTCTCTATGACAAACTACGGTTCAAGAAAAATAAATCAAGGCACCAAAACACCATGTGATAACAGTATCAGACTCGATTTAGTGATTTAGCGGATGAATGCTGTTTTGTCGTGAAATACAAGCTGTGAAAGTTGTATTTCACTGATGATCTGTCGAAGCCTATCAGGGCTGTTAAAGAACACTGTTAAATGGTCGAGCGAGCATCACATTGAACACACTCTCTCTCTCTCTCTCTCTCTGCGAGACTCTCTCTCTGCGAGTTAGGATGATCTGTGGGGAGATTTTAAGATGCTTTGGGACACTGGGCCTAGTGCGGTACAGTGAAAGAGTGAAAAGGTTTGCCTTAACGAGAGACGTTTGGGGAGATTCGTCCTCGTAAAGTGATACGTCATGTTCTCTTTCAAGCCTGAAGATCTGAAGAATTACTTAATGGATAAAAGATGTCACCTGCCATGTGGGATTCACCAGGGACTCGACTAGAAACTACGAAGCGCTCTCGGCCTGTTAGCAGTCAGCCAGAAAAAAATAAATCAGAGACATAAAAGAGTGCAACAGGCACAATGTCCTTTTGATATACGCAAAAACAATGGAACCACTTTATCCTTGGTAAAAGTTTATATGATATGATTTCTCCAATTTTAACCAAAAAAGGGAAAGAAAGGTATAAAATGGTCTTATCTTAAAGCTGGAGGAAATAAACAATATAAAACAAAGCCAGGACTTTAAATGTAATTATCATCACTCCAGATCCTGCTTGGGGGTGGATTTCACATGCAGAATTTTTGTTTCTGCATTTTTGAAAAAAAAAAAGTATTTTTTGGTTTGGATTAGTACCTGTAACAGGAGGTGCCATAGGGACACGGCGTCCTGCGCTGAACTTTAGCCTTCTGTTGCACGTTTGTCTGCGAGTTTCCGGAGCTTTCCGGCCTTAAAGTTGAGCCTCCAGCTTTGGACCTCTGACTGCCCTCAGCTCTCTTACTTTCTTTTTCCTTGTCCTCTTCGTCCGTTTTCTGCACTACATTGGCCTCGTTGGTGTCTTTGTCCTCCGGTGGCGTCTCTTGGCTGGACTCTGACACCGGAGCCTGGTCCTGTTGAAGAGTAAATGATTTTATCACCTGATGCCCTAAAGGATCACCCTATAAAGACGTGGCACCATGAGCGTGCCGAGGCTCACTATCAGTGAAGATGACCTAAACATCATGAGGTCTCACACACCAGTTCACTACTGCAGCATATTTAACCAAGACAAAGACATTGTATCTGATATCTTTATCTAAAATGTGTTTTATATTTTTATATAAAAAATAAAACTTGACACATTTGTTGCTGTATTTTTATATCCTCTAGTGCAAGCCAACTGCATCTGCAGATGATTAGAAACACACTGTTCCCCGTGTCGGCAAGTCCAGCATGAAAGTCTTTCATGATATCCATAAATCCACTGTTCCAGGTTCCGAGTGTACCTGGCTCTCCTCCGTGTCACTTTTCAGCCTCCTCGCTCTCTTTCTGGGGGCGTTGCTGCATCCTTCCTCCTCGTCCTCTTCAACCCCTTTCTCCTCTTCCTCCTCTCCTGATAACGAAGGCAGTCTAGCCCGGGGTCGTTTGGGTCCTGAGGGTTTGGATGAAGGTGTGTTTTGGGCTGGAGCTCGTGCTGGAGCTCGTGCTGGAGCTCGTTTCGCTGCTACTGGACAAAGGCATAAATTACATGAAGGTAAGCGCCAAAAAAAAATAAATAAAAAATCACACAGTTAAAATATCTCACCTGTTCTAAATTTACACACACACACACACACTAACACAGGGAGGTATCGATGTGGAATATGTTTAGATATTTAGACAGCAAAGAATACAATATACAGTAAGAGGCAGAACCATATGAGTGCAGGTTTCATCATAGTACCAAAGATACATTCATCTGGTGTGACTATTTCAGAAACTACCGAAAGGATGCAAAAAAAAAAAAACAGAACAATGAGAAAAACAAAAAATATCCAATGAGTGGAAATTCTGTGAGCGGAAACTCTCTGTTGATGAGAAAGGACAGGGGGGACAGCCAGACTTGTTAGAGCTGACAGGAACTCAAATAACCTGACAGGAACTCTTTACAACCGTGGTGAGCAGAAAAGCATTTCAGAACACAGACGTCTAACCTCGAGGCGAAACCGGACAGTTGAAGATCAGATAATTTATTTATTTATTTATTTTTAACTGTCCAGTTTCCTGGTGGTGCAGGGATACCACAAACTATTAAGTAAAGCGCAAGTAACTTTTCCGGAACTACATCTCCAGTGCTGGAAAGTTGATAAAACTTCTTAAGAAACAGAGAAGACTTTTTCTCAATACTTTCTCACCCTTATTGTAGGTTGGGTGGAAAATCCTGGAGTGTTCTTTTAACCAAGTCCTTTTGTCAGCCTCTGAACTCAAAACAGCAATCAACTCCTCAAGTCTGAGGAGAAAAGGAGCAATTTTGTGTACAACTTCTCAGACGGCACAAAAGAGAGTGTGAGTGAGCGAGTGCGTGACCGCGTACACAAGAAAGAGCAAGAAAGGTGGAAAAATGGGAGGAAAAATGGATAAAATGAGGGGCCTTTTGAACGTCTCTGTGTGAAAAAGAAATATCGGTGGTTACGACAGCCGGTGCTGACAGAACGAGATTTTATCAGCCTGCAAAACAGCACCAGGTGCCTTTCAGTGAAGAATTTATAGGAGAAGAAATGGCTTTAAAACGCCATGGTGACATTAATGATAGGTTTTAAAGGAGAGAGTAAAGTTGTTAACACGCATATTGAAAAGCCACTTTAGCAAAGGCTTCAGGAAACGTTTTGTTTTTAAGGACACACACGTCTACCTACCAACATCTTCCTTTATCATACTCAATTAAACTCGGTGTTTCAGGTCATTTTTATGCTAAGCCAACAACTATTTTGCATATCTTGTCATCTTTTATCGCATTACACGTCAGATTTAAAAAAAAAAAAAAAAAAAAGACATTTTGACATTAAAGGAATGACGTTTTGCAATCGACTCTCCATCCACCGTGTCAGGAACACACATGCGATCATCACTGACAAGAATTTTAACGTTTCCCTCCACAAAATTCACTTATTATAATAATCGAAGAGCAGTCCCATCTCTGAAAAGACAACCTGTCCAGATTTAGAACTTCGTTTAGAAAAAAATACAAAAATACGCATAATGCATAAATGTTTACTGACAGATTTTGACAACTGACTTCCTGATATTGCACTCCTGACTGGCTTCCACTCTTGAAACTGCTGCTGATTTTTTAGTGTTTTATAGTTCAGGGCTTTCAGATCATTTCACCTTCCCGACTGGTAATTACGGGTTTGACAAAGACGTGTATTTTTTTTTTTTTTTATAAGTGAAAGCTTGTAATTATTCACTATAACTCCTCGTAAATGGCAGATTCCTATTATATAATTTGGTGTTTGGGTGAAATGTGTCGGCATGGCTCTAAACATCACGTTCTTCTACTTAAAACAGGGATGTCTCAGACTCTCAGTACTCCTGTACACAAATGACTTAAAGAGAGTCACACAGGAGTTTGGTTTGTGATGTGATTAAATAGTCACAGCAGCTTAAACCTATTGCGTGTGATATTCAAATGACGATAAATCTTTAGTTAGACAGAACCTGCGTGGTTAGTTCACTAGCAAGCTAACTTTTGCAAAATCATGGTTGTTATGGTAACATTTTTAACAAGTTAAATAAAACCTTAAGAAATGTAGTGAGGGAGCACGGTGGCTTAGTGGTTAGTAAGGTCACTGTTGCCTCGCACCTCTGGGGTTGCGGGTTTGATTCCCGCCCTGTGTGTGTGTGGAGTTTGCTTGTTCTCCCCGTGCTTTGGGGGTTTCCTCCGAGTACTCCGGTTTCCTCCCCCAGTCCAAAAGACATGCGTTGTATTCTGATTGGCATCTCTAAATTGTCCATAGTGTGTGAATGGGTGTGTGTGTGCACGATTGTGCCCGGCGATGGGTTGGCACCAAATCCAGGGTGTCTCCCGCCTTGTGCCCCGAGTTCCCTGGGAACTCCTAGGCTCCAGGCTCCCCACGACCTTGTGTAGGATATGATGAGCAGCATGGAAAATGGATGGATGGAAATCTACTGAAATCCTGTGACACATTTGGGCTAGTTTACTAGCTAGCTAGCCGTTAGAGACGGATTTCGGCATTTGTAAGGACGGTAAAAGTGTAAGGATGTGCACAGATAGTAGCTTTTTGAAGCACAGGTAGTAGGTTTTTGAGCATAAAGAAAGTAAATGGTGTAAAGGTAGACATTCATACATGATTTGTGTGCAGTGGTATGTGCAGACAAGCATTAGCATTAGCAAACAAAAATGTATTGGGAGGGGAACAGAGAATGCAAACTAACTAAGTCACTGATCCTGGCTACATGATTCCCCTCCCCGTACCCGTCTGCATCCTCATCCCCCTCTCAAACTGGTCGTCTTTCTCTCAAGCGCAGCCAGTATGCCACAAACAGCAGGTGAACATTTACAAGGCCATCATCAGCGCTGGGAAAAAGGCCACTAAGCGATCCGAGCTGTCGCTGGAGTGAACACGACATTTTCTTTCTGATACCTTTCGCTGGTGATGTCTTCAGGGTTGCAGGAGTGACGTTCATCATCCAAGCAGGAAGAACTCTTTTTTTATGAGGCGTCAGGGGGTCAGGAGTGTCAGATTTACAAGAAGAGCGAGAATCAACACCAGCCTGCACACACACAGATACAGAAAGTCAAATAACTTCTGAAAACTATCCACTTCTTTAGATAAATAGTTTGGGAGCACTTTAATTAACGGAGGTGCTTTAGTGGTTTTAGAAGAATTATGGGTTTTCCCAGAGGAACAAACCAGAGAACCCTTTCGGAAGCTAAATTTTTTTGCTAAAGTTTTACTAATATACATCTGTTCCACCTCTTTTTCTTTACCTCAAGACCAAACATGTCCCTGATAATGTTCGCTTTAAATAATCTTTAATTCTGGTAGACCTTCTTCATCAAACCCCCATTAAAGGTCACTAATCTGTAAGATTTTTAATCTAATACTTGCGTAAACAAGCTAAGTGGAGGTTTTACAGAGTAGCATGGGGCTATTCCCAACTCAGAGTTGTAAAAATTGAAATACTACATATAGCTCATTTTTCCGAAGCTCGGCCGTCCAAAACGTATCCAAATACAGATGAACGATGGGACAGATGCCGTTTAATTTAAGTCATATTTTCCTTTCTTGCTCAATGTTCCAGCTTCTACTTCAAATTTATGTCCTGCTTTAGCAATATTTGGGATATTGTCTGGATTCGGTTTAATTCTAAATATTAGACATTTAAGCATTTTATCAACTTTATCAGCTAGAAGTCGTCTCAGTGCAAATTTTCCAAATCATAAGTTATCACTCAGCAGATCGACGATACCGCTGTATACTTCTGCTCAGTCAAAGTTAGCTCTAATCATCTTTTATGCTCCGTACAAACTCTGCTATTCTAACAGACCTTTCTCTCGTCCTCTCTCTTTTTTCTTTCCTTTTTAACACAGACTGTTTACAGGAGTGAAAGGTTTATATCTGTGTGTGGGTGAGTAGGAGGTACAGCAGGTTTCTCTGTTGCATAAGATAATTGGGATTGTGTTTTTTTTTTACTAAAGAATGGGGATTAATAGACAAACAATCTGGTTTCTTTCTTTTCTTTTCTCTTTCCTTCCATCCGAGTTTGGTAAAACTATTATGTATACACTGAAGAGTCATAAAAACCCAACGACTGCTAGCTGAGATATCGATGAACATCATGTTCCGATAAATTTTATTGTGATTTTATGAGTAGCTGCGGGGGCTATATAGCCAAAAAAAAAAACCCAAAACAATCATACCATGATACTGGAAGACGTATTAATGATCCAAAATACACATCATGATATTTCGTTTTGCTAACAAAGCAGCAGTGACATGTTTTATATACATGTGTGGTGACATAATGAGTTCGTGTTACTATTTCGCCCTTAAAAGGCTCTAGATATTTCATATTCTTTCCAAGAAACTATATTCCACAGCTAGCAACAGTTATAACCGTAATACAGGTCAGGTGTAGGTGAGATGTTGTATGTAAAGTGTTGCTACAAGAGCCAAACTTCAGAATGTTGCTTATTGCTCCTTTAAAAGGAAATGGGCCTGCTCTACATATCTGTTCCTCCCCTTATACATACTAAACTACAGCTAGCGATGTACAAAAATAGCAATTATAACATTAAGACAGGTCAGGAGTAGTGATGTGTGTGAAGGTCAGGAGTAGTGAAGTGTTCCAATGAGAGCTAAACATGATAATGTTGCTTGCTGCACCTTTAAAAGGAAGTGTACAGGCTCTAGAGATTTGACACTCCTTACAAGAAACTATATTCTACAGCTAGGAACAGTTATAACCGTAATACAGGTCAGGTGGTCATGATGTGTTGTATGTAAAGTGTTGCCATAAGAGCTGAACCTGTGCTGGATGTTGCTTATTGCCCCTTTAAAAAGAAATGTTCATGTTCTACAAGCATGATGGTCAGAGTGATATTGCTTTTATACAACAGTTCTATTAATAAGAAATTAATATAAAGTAACTGACATTTCAGACACAATATGGCCAAATATTTTGTTTATTTTTTGCTCAGTCAACGGAAATAGTTTCCAATGAAGACACAGCTGGATAGAACATTGCGTGTTGCCATGGTAACGCAGAGACTGACTGACAGCCCGTAGTAAGTGTAGTAACGGCTTCAATGCAACAAACTATTGCTAGAATTGGATTTTTAAGTAGCAAACACAGAATGGCATTTGACCAGTCAAATTAGAACTAATTATTATATAATGTTGCTTGTTGCACTTTTAAAGGGAATGAACAGGCTCTGCATATCTGTTCCACTCCTTCTATATAGTGTATATAATCTACAGCTAGTTATGTACGATATCACTTATAGCCATGGGAAAGGTCAGGTGTAGGTAATATGTAAAGAGCTGCACTGATAGCCAAACATGATAATGTTGCTTATTGGACCTTTAAAGGACTTGAACAGGCTTTAGATACACTATATGGCCAAAAGTATGTGGACACCTGAGCATCACACCCATATTTAGTTCTTCCCCAAACTGTTGCTACAAAGTTAGACGCTCACAATTGTATAGAATGTCTTTGTATGTCTTTGGCATTACAGTTTCCTTTCACTGGAACTAAGAGGCACAAACCTGTTCCAGCATGACAATGCTCCTGTGCACAAAGCGAGCTCCATGAAGACGAATGAATTCGAGTGTCCTGCACAGAGTCCTGACCTCAACCCCACTGAACACCTTTGGGATGAACTGGAACACCGACTGAACCCCAGACCTCCTCACTAACATCAGTGCCTGACCTCACTAATGCTCTTGTAGCTGAATGAACACAAATCCCCACAGCCACACTCCAAAATCTAGCGGAAAGCCTTCCCAGAAGAGTGGGAGATTATTATAACAGCCAACTTGTGGCCATATAGTTTCACACCCTGTTACACCCTTTCCAGGTTACTATAGCATTTAAACCCCACCTGATTACATGCAGCAGGGTCTGCTGTGTGGGCCTCATCTCTCATCTTTGACTCGTAGGTGAAAGACAGACTGTTCTTGGCCTGAGGAGTGTACGCTAATGTCTCCTCACACGATCGGGAGGATTTAGAGTTCTGCTCCGTCTCTGACGCCGTCTCCATCACCTCCTCCTCCTCCTTCTCCTTCTCAAAACCCTGGCTGTTCCTGTTGCAATAAAAAAATGTGCTTTCTGAGTTTCTTCTCCTTTAAACTTCACAACTTTTACAAATCATGTGATGAACTTTTGGACTTGGATTTTTACGGTATGATAAATCAAGTAAGTAAAGATTTACCAGGAACCTACCAGGCAAAACAAATCTGACCCACTTCTTCTGCACTATGCAGTTTAGTTTAGACAGGCAACAAAACAAGTCTGATTTATTTCCCCCTGCATTCAAACACAATCAAACAAGTCATGTTTGCTTTTTTTTTGCAATGAAGCAAGGGAGGATGTTTAAATCAGGGAGGGCATCGGGCGCTTCATTTAATCCCAATCCAAGACACGATACGTGTGTGACAGCAGAGAGTAAAGAGAACTGGAGCGTCTTTTCTTTATCAAGCATATTTGATATTACATTTAGATATGACTAAGATCCTGCTGCCCACACAGCTTTGGGAAATCATCTCCAGCCTTATAAGAAGCCTTTATCAGATATAATACACTAGATTTTCATCTTCTCATAAGAGAACAAACACACAAAGCAAATAGTTCACATTGTGAAATACTCTATTACGACATGTAGGACAGAAATTCAGTGAAATAACCTGTCAAAAGAAAAAAAAAACGCTCAGTCTGATGTACCTGCTGTGATCGTCTAAAATGCCAAACCTGAGATCATCTGAAATTTTCTTTATGTGGAATATGACAGCAGGACATGGAATATTAAGGGTTTTATCAGGAAAAAGAACTTTTTCTGTAAAATTTCCCAAGAAGTCTATGGAAACTCAGAGACCTGGGCAACGGTTTAATTCTTGCATTTCACATAACAAACACTTTGACTTTTAAATGCATGCAAATAACAGCATCGTGAATCAATACCTCATGAACGTGCTACAGAACAAATTACCATCATTTATTTCTCCCCTATCAGCTGCGTGCCATGTGGGCGCAACTTTGTTTGGAAAAGAGCTGGCGACAAGAATGATGAAGCCTGCGTGATTAATGACTAAGGAAAACAAATCTGAAAATGTGTCGAAGTGTTTTTGGTTTTAATGGTAAACATATGCTTAG